GACCCGGTTGTCTTTTGACAACCGAGTGGAACTGCCGGGGCCGCCGCGGCCCCCTCCCTTGGCTGAAAAGAAAACCAAATAAACCTTGAAACAGCCTTGGCTTCGGATCTCTCAAGCGGCCTCATTCTCTCCCGCGCCTTGGTGGGGTGGGGGTGAGGGAGGGGGTGGGGATGGCGGTGGGGGTCTTGGCTCTGATCCCTCCACCCTTTGGTTCAGGGCCCCTGGTCACTGGATGCAGAATTAGACCTTTTTAAATGTGTCGTAGAGGAAGCCGCTTCCCCTTCCCCTCCCAGCCTCCAGGTTTGAGGCTGGGATGGGCGGGAAGGGTGAGGGGGCGGGGAGAGTGGGGAATTGAGGATGATGGGTGGAGGAGAGACTTGTTCTGTTCTCTAACCCATACCAGGGAACCAAGATCCAGCTGAGAGCGTCGGCGTGGGCCCGAAATCCCCCGAATCCCGTGGACCCTGCGCAGCCAGGGCTCCAGGCGTCGGGCACTGCCCGGGCAGTGTCGCGGGGTTTGCGGCGCCGAAGCCGCGTGTCTCCGAACGGACGGTAGATGGCAGCAAACCGCATAATTTGGGTCACAGTGAACTGTCTAAGGGAGGATTTATAACCCTCCAAGACTACAGGAGAAAAAGACCTTTAGTGTGGGTGGGTTTGGGAAATGTATCCCTTGAGAATAAGCCTTGAGTGCCGTGGATGCTGGCGGAGACCTCTCGCTACGAAACCGAGCGGTCCCTTCCGGCGCCCAGGCCGGGCCTGAGCCTAGGGCATCTACCCCGGGCCCCAGAGCCCCTTCTTCCGCGCCACAAGTGGCCCTCTCCCAGCTTAGGACTGAAATAATAAATATACCCCCACTTCCAACACACCCCAGGCCCTGTAACTCCGGAGCGACCAGAGGCTCGAGGCTGAACGTCCTGCATCTGGTCTTAAGAAAGAGAAAAGCAATCACATGTTCGTGCAAACCAAACTAAATCACAATCTCTCCTGCCCTCCACAGCCAACTTCACTTATCTCTTAGCTGGAAACTTCCCCCAGAAGCTCCCTTGCCCAATTTTTAAGTCCTTGCCTCAAGGCTGGCTCCTACTTCCACCCCACCAGCTACTTGAAGAATCTCTGTCTCCTGCCCAATGGTTCTCCGCCCTCCCCACACCCCTAGAAGGCCTGACTGAGAGATAAATTGGACACCCGGGGGACGGGACTGCCTGAGCTCAGTGCCAGTTAGCTTTCCAGTTTAAACACCACTAGGTCCCTTAACTGGATTTTCTTATTTTCTTCTTTCATTTCTTTCTTTTTTGTTTTTATTTACAAGCCTAAAACAAAAACGCACTTAACAGCTTATTCACAATCACCACGTTTGGACCCAGGAAAGTTTGAAATGTTATCATATCAGACACACACGGCAATTTTTTCCTCCACCGAAATCCACACATCCCATACCAATACAATGCAAATAATAGAATCAATATCGCGCAGAAACCAACAGCTGTAACCTACCGCATTAAAACCACAAAACTGTCTCCCTGCAGAGCGAGGCTCCCTCCTGCGTGAGTGGCGAGAGACTTGGGCATGCTCGGGCAAGCTTCCTGGGGGGGGAGGGTCTCCCTCATTTTTGGTGTCTCCACCCACAGCCCTTTAATTTCAAAAACGTCTCCGAAGGGAGATAGTGAACATTTCTATGTAAATTGTCTTTTCTGTGTTTCTCTAGACGCCTCCTCTCCCTCGCCGGCCTTGGCGGAGATTCCAGGCCCAACAGAGACCAGGACGTCCCTTAGCGCCACCGCCCCACATGCCAATGCTGCCGGGAACCCGGCGATATCCGCACCAGGCAAGAGAACTGCGCGGGGGCAATAGCCAGAGGCTGGGACAAGGGAGGGATGGTAGGAGGAGGAGGGGGCAAACCCACGGAGGCCATAACAACTGACTTCTTTGGGTGCCACTGAAGCACAGGTGCCCCTATCCTCTCTTTCGCGGTCCCCTTGTTTGAGTCTCTCCTCCAAGCTTAAAAAGGCAACTTAGAGCTTGTCTCCTGGCCCCCTTTATATTCGTCTTCTCGCTTCCCCTGCCTTGGCTCCCCCTCCAGGAAGCAGCCAACCCTCTCCACCACCGAATTTCCTGGGAAGCTTCTCCCTGCAGCGCCCAGAGGTGGGGTTCAGCCCCGTCTTGGAGTAGGGGAGGAGGGAGAAAAACCCAAGCCCCACCCCCCTACAAAAGCGATGCAAAAGAACCCGAAGAAAATTGTAGAATCTCCCTTACCTTTGCAGACCTTGGGATTTTTTTTCCCCTCTGGATTGAAAGGAATGGGGAGGGAGGAAAGAAGGAGCATTCAGTTTCTTCTTCAGCTTCCAGATAATATTGTCCCAACGTGAGAGCCGTCGCTTCCCCTTCTCTGACTTGGGAGAGAGGGTGTTTCATTTTTCTGACATTTGCATAGAAAATGGAGTAAGTTCTGGCTTTGAAAAATAGTATCAGGCTGCAGTCCTGGGCAGATTGTCCATTTACCCTCCATGATGACTAAAATCCCAGATCAGTGAGCAAATTAACTTAGGAATCAAAATTATTTTTGGTTCTCTCTTTGTGTAATTCCCACCCCTCCTGCTCTCTCTCTCCCTCTTTCGCTCTCTCTCTCTTTTCTCCTCACCCCCCTCTCTCGTCCTCTCTCTCTTTTGCTCTATCGAGCTGATACTGAAGTATAAAAATATCAAGAGGCTGGAGCCCTGAAGGACGACAGTGCTCCGACCTAGGTGTGGTGTCCAAAAGAATGCTGCATTATAACCACCAGGGAAATGATAAAAAGTTCATGTTCACGATCGCCCGGCCACATGACCGGCGCCGGCCAATCGCTGGATTCAACCACTCATAAACTTCTATCACAAAGTTGTAAATTTTCATAAAACAACAAGGAATTTATTGCATTTCTTCATGGCTGCTCCACCAGCAACCCTTTTCTCAGTCGCCATCTTCTTTTCTTCTCCTTCTCTCCTTTTGGGGAAACCCCAATCTGAGAAGGGGTGAGATTTGGGGGGGCAGAGAATCAGAGTGGAGAAGCTATAAAGGTGCAGCTGGAAAGGGGGTTCTTTTCCGAACCTCCCTATTTTCCACATGCTCCCTCCTCTAATAAAAGTCTACCCCAAATCTGCAGAGGGACTGTTCTGAGGCAATTTTGGGGTGAGACGGGAGCAGAAGCCGGTGTCTAGTGTCTAGAATTGCCATCCGCACGTGGGCAAAATGAAAGCTTCGGTGTTCCCTCTCCCCCGCTGAACTGGCCCCCTCATTCCTAGCCCTGTAAATGGCAGGACACCCACCTGTGAGGCTTGCAGCATTGCGGGCGAGGGGGCCTTAGATCCCCCAGGGCTTAGTTTTTGCCCCAGGAGGAAAGGTAGCTTGGATGGGGGGGTGGGCAAGGCTGATAGTCTGACAACCAGAGTCTCGCCTCCGCAACCCAGAAACTGGGGGAGGGTCAAGCCGGATCCTGGCCTCTCCCGCCCAAATGCAGGCAAGTCCAGGTTCCCTATTGACAGCTCCCCGCGCTCTCCAGGGGTTTACGTGGTCAATAATGGGGGAAAATGCAGGTTTAGAAGACTTTCACAGACAAATTCAAATTCAACAGATCATCCTAAAACCAACCCTCCTTCCTCTTTCTTTCCAAAGTCTGTTTTTTAAATTTAAATAATCCAGCGTTTATAATCGAATAAATGCTAAAAATCAGTTCGGCGATTCTAGCTGCATAGACACCACCCTCCAGGTCTTGATCCTGCAATCAGCGGGTATTTGAAAGCAAAAAATAAAATAAAAATTCAGCCCAGGTCTCCCAGGTCCCCTGAAATATCCCCATATTTCAAGTTGAGCTACCAATGACCAAATTCAGGAAACGAAATAACCTCCCCTGCCCCAATTTTTTTTTTTCTCTCTCTCTCTCTGTGCTGCGGAGAAGGTTCCAGGCTGCTGTCGGCGGCGCGGAGATCGGGCGGAGAGGCGCGGAGGAAGCCCGGGGCGTGGCGCGGCCAGGCTCCGAGAGCGGCCGGGATGCGGCCACACCGCCCAGGCTCTTGCTGCCGGACTCATTCCCTTCTCCACTCCCCATTTTAAAGTTTTATTTGGGTCGCTTGTGTCAGTTTAGAACGAGATAAATTAAGACAAAGGAAAGTAAAATAAATCGAAATAAAATAAAGGACTAGCTCTTGCCGAAAATGTTTGTCGAGCGAGCAGGAAGCCGTGAGCGCCCTAGCTGGAGGCTGCTGTGCGCGGACTGAGAGCCTCTACTCCCTGGCGTGGCCTCCACCCAACGCCACCCAAGAAGCCGGAGTGGATTTGGGTGTTCATTTCCCTTTCCTTCGGCTCTTCCTTCGTATGGGGCCTGGCAGCTTGGATTTCAGCTCTGTCTCTGTGCCCGCCGAGCTGCAGCCCACATCCAGATCCCGCAGCTTGGTTTCCAGGCCTGAATGAGGAAGCGGGTTTGTGGAACTGTGAGGTTTTTGTTGTTTTGAGAGCGTGTGTGACTAAGCATGTGGGCTCCTGAATGCGTTTACTTGGGGGCAAATGTGAATTTGTGTTTATAAGCCAATGTGTGAATGTGCGTTGGTATCAATGTATCTGTGAGTGAGTGTGAATGTGTGTTTACTTGTGAGTGTGTGTGAACATGAATGCGTATGTTCTGGGCATGGAGCTGGGATTATATGAATGCTTGTATGTTTATTTGTTAACATATGGATATGAGTGTTTGTGACCGTGACAGTGTGGATATGTGTGATGTCAACCTGTAAACACATGTGATTGTGTGCATCATGTATCTCAATGTGTGTAAAAGAGTGTAAAGGGAATGCATGAGTGAAATATCGGGGTTCACTAGTTGGCAGCCCCAACCCAGAGCAGAAGGAACCAAGAAAAAGAACAAACCCAGCGCATAAATGAACCTGCATCAGAAGTCAGAGCCAAGGGGTCATCGATAACCCCGACCCCTTCCCAGCCTTACACAGAATATAGGACATTTGTTTATTTTGAATTGTGTTTTATTTTTCCATCTTTTAGATACACATAGAATGTAAAAGGGAGCATGGGGCCAAGGGACGGGGAGCAAGGAGCAGCGGCCAGGCGCTTGGAGAACACGCGAGTTGTAGGTTTTGGGGCTCCCTAAGGCCCCTTGGTGCTGCTACTGGGAAGGCTCAGGAGGGCAGGCAACCACAGGGTTAGTCCAGACCCAAGTCCACAAAGACAGCATCAAAGAGGGCTTACAAAACAGCAAGATTTTACAAAGACCTTACAACAGCAACATAGAAAAGGGTAGGTAAATTCCAGAAAGCTACAGAACAGGTAGATAATGTCCTTCTCATCCTGCACAAAAAAAAAAAACCTGACAGACTTTCCGATAGGTAGTATTTTTTTCAGCGTTGAAAAACCAATATTTCACCTTTCTCCCTCCTCAAAAAAAAAAAAATTAAAACTTCTTTTATTTAAATAGTTTTCGTTTGTTTGTTTTTACTTCCCTATTTGATTTGAGTTTCCTGATTCAGTTCCCATAGCTGGGCTTCTCCTCCTCTCCCTTTCTCATCTCTCTTCCTCTGCCCTTTCTCCATCCTTCACTCTTCCTCTTCCTCCTCTGCTTCAGCCTTGTCCTGGCCGGTGGTCCCGGGTCCCGCGGTCTTGTTCTCCTTTTTCCACTTCATGCGCCTGTTCTGAAACCAAATCTTGATCTGTCTTTCTGTGAGGCAGAGCGCGTGCGCGATCTCGATGCGCCGCCGCCGCGTCAGGTAGCGATTGTAGTGAAATTCTTTCTCCAGCTCCAGGGTCTGGTAGCGGGTGTAGGTCTGGCGGCCTCGTTTGCGGTCGGTTCCTGCGCACAGTATTTAGAGGAAAATCAGTGAGTGCAGAAAACTCCAAAAGAGTGCTCACCTCCCTCTTAGACCCTGTCTGTGATCTGAAGTTGATGGGTGAAGAAGCCTTTTCCCACTAAACCAAATTCTGGCTTTCCATACCCCAGCCCTTATTCCAGCTGCAGTATCCCTTCAATTGCAGAATTTTCTACAGGCTTCTCAAGGCAAACATTCCCATTTTCTATCCAAGAAGTCTTTTTCAGCCTGGAGCTTCTGAACCCAGGAAAGTAACCTGCTGGCTATTGAAGGCTCTGCTCCTAGGGGGTGCAAGTGGGATGAGGGGAGATTAATCCTCCTTTCACTCTCTAGGATCAAGGACCCTAAACCTCCTCTTTTGAATGCTGATCTGATGGTCTTTCCAGTAGAGGCCCACAGAAACCATGCAAGTGACCCTGGAATGGGGTACCAGGCCTGGCTTGAGAATGTTTCCCAAGAAGAAAAGGAGACAAAGGGGCCTCAAAGGCCCAGTCCCTCCAACTGGCCCCCAGCATGTTATGGAATGTGAAGGTAAGAATTTGCAGATTTCCTTGGAGCAAAGAGTTGGTCTAACAGCAGTTGAACCTCTGATGATTCTTTTCCAGTGAGTGGCTAAGCTTCAGACAGGGCCAGGGTGTCCTGCCTGCCTGCTTGCCTAGACAGCCCAGCTATCTAAAGCAATCTTTGGGCCTCCAGGAAGGCATGGGGGAGAGGAGAAACAGCAGCCTGGGATAGGATGGAACATGGAGTATCTGGGTGGTGAGGGCCGAAGGGCTGAGGGGAACTTCTGCATTAGGCCCAGAACCCTGAGGAGACTTGAAAGAGGTGCTCCTGGGAAGGAGACAGGGGAGGAGGGGTTGGGGCCCTAGTTTCAAGTCACATAAAAGTCAAGCTGAAATGCCTATGAGTAGAAAAATGGGGGCTTTGATAAATCAACTGGAAAGGCAGTTAAACTATGGAGCAGGTAATGGGGTCTATAACCACCAATACTGATGGTGTGAGAGCTGGGCTTCTTCTGGCCCCTGACCATCACTGGGCTGGGTGCCTCTGACCATGAGTCTTGGGTCTTCTGGACTTTGGGGCTAGCCCCCAAGTTCATCTGCAGTGGAACAGTGCAGAAAAGAATGTCTGGGCCAGACTTGGCAGGGACCCTATGGAACTTCAGCCTCTTGGGGTTCCTGCAGCAGCTGGCTGGGTGAACTGCACTCTCTAAGTTTTGATTTGGCTTCAGAGAGTCCTAGCCCCTTCCCGAAGAGGAGGGTCACTTATCTGGAGTGATACCTCCAAACCTGGCCAGTTTTTTAGGGGTGCCTAGGAGCCCTAGGAAGAGCACCTGAGGAAGCTGCAGTCCCATGAGGCCTCTGCCGCTTTCTAGTTCTCCTGTTCCGCTCTCCTACCCAAGTTCACTGGGGTCAGGAGGCTCATCTCTCTTGGTCTCAGCCCCCTCCCTCCACCTGCCTCTCTGGCTCTGTGTCCCTGGCTGGGTCCTTTTCTCCTCCCGTCAGGCCTCTAGAGCCCACCACTAATTGAGCTGATGGGAATAATGGGAGAGCGGGAGAGCGGGGTTCGCTGGAAAGGAAGGGGGAGGGGAGAATTGCTTAGCGCTAAGGCCCCCTCCCCGATACCTTATTCGAGCTAGGGTAGGGGGACACACCCAGGGCTGAGGTCCTTAGCTAAGAAGGGGGAGGGGGAGACCCTAATGGCTATTCTCTGCAAACCCCAGCCTTCCTCCGCGAGACAAACGGCCTCGTCTCCACCCCGTGCCGGCGCTGCTGATAAATATTTAAAGCTAAAAGGCCGAGAGGAAGGGTGGGGGCGGGCTGGGTGCTCGCAGCGCCTTGGCGTCGGCGAAGACAGACCCGCCGGGAAGCAGAGCGAGCCTGAGAGCACCGAGCAAATATGGGGGCGGGGGCGGCCGCGACCAGTGGGTGCAGCGTTCCAGGGCCGGCCTCCGGCTGGGATCACTCTGGACGCGGAAAGAGGCGCCCGGCCGGGAAGGGGGCGCCTTCCGAGTAATGTGCTCGGGCCCCTGGGGCTCGGGACAGCTCGGTGCGCGGCGTTACCTGAGCTTCGCATCCAGGGGTAGATCCGGAAGTTACCCTCGGCCGCCAACTCCGAGTCCCTCTGCTCCTTGGCGCCCGCCGCCTTGGCGGACTCGCCGGGACACACCCCGGAGAGGTTCTGCTCAAAGGGCGCGCAGTGCATGTTGAAGGAACTCGGCTCGAGCCCGTAGCCGGCCGCGTAGACGCCGGCGGCGCTCTGGCCCGCCATGCCCCCCCCGCCAGGGTACAAGCCCTGCATCGAGGCGGCGAAGGAAGCGCCCGAACCCGCTCCATAGCCTGGGCGCTGGGGGTTGGAAGCAAATGCACAAGAAGTTTGTTCGGGGAAGGCTCCGGTAGCGAAAACCGAACTTGAGGCTGGATATTTAGAAAATAAAGCATTCGCATAATACAATGAACTCATAATTTGGCCGGATGATTTGTAGGCAGGGACGTTTTAGTGTCGGTTTTACGAGATTCCTTGATATATTACAGAATTAGAGTCCAGATTTACACCAAAAAGGACCCCCTTTTTCCTCTCCGGACCACGTGACCCCCGCCCACGTGACTTCCCCTCTGCCAATGGCTGGGCCGCCTCCCCACGGCTCCCGGTAATGTGGAAAAAATTGTGTGGCGTTGGATTTATAAAATATGATCAATAATGAATGGGAAAGCCGAGCCCTGTGGATTGGGGCTGGGGGCTCAAGGGCCGCTGCCGACTCCCGCGGGCTGGAGGCAGCTTGCAGGCGAGGTTTGGGGAGAAAGAGATTGAGAGAAAGGGAAAATAAATAACCTCAGGGCGATCGTGTTGTCACCCCGCTACCTATCCTCTCCAGCCCGTTACCGAGCTAGAGACAAACGCAGAGATTGAATACATGCAACTGGGAAGGTGGGTGCGTGGGGCAGGTCTGGTCTTTATTAATCCGGGCCAATTCTGCACTGCAAGGCCTTTTGGGGAAGTTGTCCGGTTCTCCCAAGACGAGGAATAAGGTGAGCCTGGCTCACGGCTCTCTCTCTCTCTCTTGGTGCCCCAGATTTGCGGGCGGAGATGAAGCGAGGCTTCCAAGGTGCTCCTAGGGCACAGGATCCAGCCAATGGGCCTTGGACGCTGCAGTTTCTGGTGGCTAAAAAAAAAAAAAAAAGGTTTGAAAGTAAAAGAAAGAAGGGGGTTGGGTGGATGGGGAGAGAAAGGAAGGGTGGAGGGTGGCCCGGGCGCGCTGCTTTCCCGGTTCTGGAGGCGGATGCCTCAGTGGAGCGTGACTATGAGAGAAGCAGAGGCAGCGAAGGAAGGAAGGTGGTGAGCCATGGCCTCAGAACAGAGAGAAGATGGCCAAGTCCCAGAGAGGGAGAGGCAGGGAAGAACGGTCTCCCTTCTCCTGCTCCCTCAACCAGAGTCCGAGAGGGAAAAAAAGTATGCTCAGCAGGCCTGCACTCCACCTTTATGCCCCCCCTCCCCACACACACATCATAGGACTCACAGCAAAACAAAGAGGGAGGTGGCGGGGGACACAACCACCAACCCAGGCGCTTGTCTCCAGCGTGGCCTGGGCGCCCTGGTCTCCCAGGCCGGGCAGCCTCGGAACGCAAGAGGAGGGGGTTTCTCTTGGCTCCCCTCCCTCGTTTTTCTCTCCTCCAATCAGGCGCAGCCGCCTCACTCACCCCCTGCGCCCCTGGGCCGAGGGACTCGCACCACCTGCCTCCAGCCCCCGCCCCCTCCTCTCCGCGGCCTAGCCCCAGCAGGCGCAGGAGCCTGGTGACAGGCTCCCCACCGGCTCTCCAAGGCACCCGGTAGCAAATGAGGAGTGCTGGCCGGGCCAGACTCGGGTTCTTGCTTGTAAACTTTATTGTAACTCTTCCGCCCTTTTCAGGCGCAGACAACAGAACAAAGTATAGAGGAACAACAAAATATATAATTAGCCCTCCCTCCCCCCCATAAAGCAATTCACGGATACAGGATACATTCTCTTCACAGTAAACCTAAGAACACTTTTAACAATTGCCCACAGCGCGCATGCTAACTAAAGTAATCTCTTTTGAGAAACACTTAAGACAAAATTGTCAAACCAAAGGGGGTGGGTGGAGGAGGAAAAGAGAGAAGCCAGAGCGAAAGCCAGCGAGCTGGGGGGTGCAACAAGGAGAGAGGATTGGGAGGGGAAATGAGAACGCAGCGAGAGAGAGAGAGAGAGAGAGAGAGAGAGAGAGAGAGAGAGAGAGAGAGGAGAGGGAGACAGAATTACGGCGTGAATAGGCAGTTTCATGTTGTTGGGAGAACTTAGCAGAAATCGGTACCTCGGTCATTACAAAGAAGCACGTTCAAAGGAAAAAGACCATTGCACAAGGAGGCTTTTTACAAGGGGTGGGAAGGGGCATGGGGGGGCTCAGCCGGGCCTTGGCCGCTCACCCTCACAGGGCGAGGGAGTCCTTGCTTAAATCCTTTTCTTTCCCCCCCGGCCCCCAAGAGAAGGGAAGGAGATCCACGGTAGCTCACACACAGAAGCTATTACGAGATACTACCACTAGCGGGGACTGGCGCGGCGGGGGACGCTGCGGTGGGAGGCCCGGCTCCTGGCCCAGCTAGCGGGGCCAGAGCTCTCTTGGGCGGGGGGCAGGCGGCGGCGGCGCGGCCGGGACCCGCGGACGTGCGGGCGGCCGCGGCCCTGGCAGTCCTAGCTGGAGCCTACTTCTTGTCGCCCTTCTGTGCGTCGCCCTCGTCCGCCGCCTCCGGGGCCCGCTCCAGCTTCTGTTTCTCCAGCTCCTCCTGCTCGCATTTGCTGCTGGGGAACTTGTCTTTGTTGTTCTCTTTTTTCCACTTCATCCTCCGGTTCTGGAACCAGATTTTGACCTGTCTCTCTGTCAGTCCCAGCGCGTGCGATACCTCGATTCGTCGCTTGCGAGTCAGATAGGGATTAAATAGGAACTCCTTCTCCAGCTCCAGGGTCTGGTAGCGGCTGTAGGTCTGTCGGCCTCGCCTGCGTCCGGCGGCTGCTGGGAATGGGGGAAAGGGCGAGACAGAGGGGAGGGGAGGGGAGGATGGGGGAGGGGGCAGAGACGGAGAAGGTTGGAAGATTCGTGAACGAGCCTAGGAGACTAGTATAATAAGGGCAGGAGACCTTCTACCCCGTACGGGGGCGGGGGGCGAGAGAAGGCCGCGGTCAGCGGAGGAGGGGGGCGAGGGGGATCAGACACCGCTGAATCTAAGGGAGCCAGAAAGGGGAGCCCCCGCCCCCTGGTAAACAGCACCAGAGTCGGGTAGGAGGTGGTTCAGATCTATTAAAAGTGCCATAAACTTTGGGAGGAAGGATGTGAAGGGGGGGGAAATAAGAATAAAAAAGCTGGGTGGGGACGAATGGACCCACCTTGAAAAGCCCCCAGAGCCTCTGCCCCAGAAGAAAAGTTTCTTCAGGGTAATTAAACTATAAAGCAATTGAGAAGTGCAAAAGTTGAGCGCCCCACTCCCACCACCCTCTCTTCACTACCCCCCATAAAACAGTAAAAGGGAAAAAAGGAGGGGAAGAAGAAGAAAAGTAAGGCAGGGTGAGGGGTTTATAGATTCAGGAAATGTTTCTAAGCGACCCCCTTCAAGGGGAACAAAAAAGACAGAAAGAAGAAAGAAAGAGAAAGAAAGGAAGAAAGAAAGAAAGGGAAAAAGCGGCAGGCGATCGGAACGGAGCCGGCAAGTCTTCCAGAAGCTGGAGGAAATGCGCCCCAGCCTGCCCGGCCCCCTGCCCGGCTTTGGGCCCTCCCGGCCCCATCCTGCCTTGCCGGCCCAGAGGCGAGCTCACCTTGCGGGCGCATCCAGGGGAAGAGCTGTGTGGGCGACGGGCTCTGCTCGGAGCCCTCGGCCTCCTCGCCCAGGCCGCTGGCTGCGGCAAGCTTGCAGTCTGCGTACTGCACCAGGTCTGGATCCTGCGCACCGAATAGGCTCTGGCGTTGCAGCGGGTCGTAGCCGTAGAAATTGCCGGGGTCCCCGTGGCACGCCACGGCGCACGGGTTCTGCTGGTAGGGAGCCGTGGACAGCGACGACGGCCCGTGGTAGAACTCCTGGATTTGCGACGGGTGCTGGAAGCTGCCGCCGCTGCTGGGACCGTACACCACGGTGGGTCGGCCGCCCAGGTCCTGGGCGAAGCCGCAGTCATAATAATTGGGGCGCAGGGACTCCCCGGTTTTGTATTTGGAGAACAGTGAGTTGACGAAATAAGAGCTCATTTTATTGAATTTTGAAGCGGCGGCGGCGGCGGAGGCTGTAGTTGGGGGCTGTTGGGGAGGGGGTGGGGAGGGGGAAAGGGAGGGAGAGAGAAAAAAAACGCGGATTCGCCGGCTCCTAGTCACCCTCGCCAGGAAAGGAGAGGGAAAGGGAGGAGGAAAAAAAAGAAAAGAAAGAAAAGGCTAAGAAGATCTCGAAGCCTACACACTTTTTGTGATTTCCAGGAATAGAAAAAGACAGAGAAGCCTCCAAAAGTCTAAGCTTGCATGGCAGCCGCGTCTCGCTCGCCCTCCCCCCACCCCCCACCCCCCAAACAAAAATATACCGCCACTTAAAGAGGTCCTCGCTTTACATTTCGAAGAAGGGATGCCAGTTCATAAACAGTTTTCGGTGATTTACTTCCCTGCAAATGAGTTGTTTCATATTTTGCACTGTCTTTTCATGATCATTTGCATCCATTAGAGACCCCGCATCCTATTGGCTTCTTCGTACTCCTCCCGGACAGAACGCAGAGCGAGGGTGAAAGCGAGAGAGAGCGAGCGAGAGAGAGAGCTAGAGCGAGAGAACGCCAGGGAGTGAGGAGAGATCGAAAAAAAAAAGGAGGGGAAGAAAAAAACACCCAGGGAGAGAGGGGGAGAGGGGGAGAGAAAGGGGGAGAGGGAGAGGGGGTGAGAGAGAATGAATACGGATTAAATCTGTTTAACTACCTACATTAATGAGATATCTCTCGCCTCACAACAAATCAAATACCTTCGCAGACCACCCCCAAAGACTGATGTGGGGGAGTCACGGAAAAAAACGCGCGCGCACACACATACACAACACGCCAGGCGTAGGCACGCTGTTAATTTCGCGATTTTAACGAGGCAATTGGAGTCTTTCTAAATGTCAGGGTCGCTTCGGAAAAATGTAAAAGAACACGGTTTAATTGCTCCGAGTTTTAAAAGGTCCTATAAATGTAATTGGTATTTTAATACAAGTTATCAAATCATACAGCTTCCTCTCCTAAACATATTTTCAAACAAACGAGGTAGTCATATTTAAAGCTTTAATGATCAATTTCCTTATTATTGATAAAGGTTTAACTATCGTGTGGAGGGAATTGGCTGGGTAACTGGCCCCCCAAAAAACGGCTGTAAACTCTTTAACAAACTATAAAACGCAATAAAGCCGGAGTCTGTTGTTGTTTATGCCGCAGCGCATAAAAGCTGTTAGCATTTTACGAGTTCTTTCCTCTACAGCTATAAAACTGCAGCTTCGATCGCCCCCGCCGCCCGACTGCAGCACGGTGGGGGTGACGAAGCCGAAATGAGAATGATTATGGGGATTTTTTTCGGCACAAACGGTGACTTTTCTGAGATTTTCACCTCCTTCCATTCTGTCAAGCACCTGCCTTCACCCCTTCTCTGCAGCCCCCAAAAGGCCCCCTTTCTGCTCGGCCCTGGTCAGTCACACAAGTTCCTCTCATTAAAAAATAAGCAAAGATTTTTCTGTGGAGCAGGGGTCTGGGAGATCTTGAGGAGGGACCGGGAAGGAAGAAGAAACTTTCTGGTTAATGAGCAGTGGTTGAAGCACAGAGCAAACTTCGACCTGCCACTGCCCATTCTGCAGGTTCACGCAAACTCTGCTTGCTGAAAAGGGGGTCCCCTGAAGTTCCTTCCAGCCAGTCAGCACTTTTGACGGCAGAGTTTACATGAGAAGAGAGGGCCTGATGCCATCAGAGGGGTGAAACCCTAATGGGGTGCTGCGCACCTGCACCCAGGCCTTAGGACCAAGTAGCCAAGCCCAGTTATCAATAGCTCCCAAACTTCTCAGGCCGACCTTCACACCTTCTGCAGTGCCCTAGGGTGGGAGGGCACCACTAAGCCCATCAACACATCAAGAGGAAAGAAGGGTGATGGAGGCTGTGGCAGGATATCAGGCCCTGGCCCCTGGCCTTGGTGCCCACTGTCTTATGCTCTCAGCTGCCCTAGGCAGTGGCTGCAAAGTATGTGTTTGGGGGACATCTATTAGTCCTCAGTGTCCCCAAGACCTTTTGAGCCACCGTCAGTACCTAAACTGACCGGGGTGTGGGATTCAGATAGAACAAGGTTGCTGAGTCCCCCATTTTCTCCCCTTTACCCTTGGGGAGCCTCTAGTTAAACCTGGCTTGGTTCTCCCTACAGACCTGGGGACCAGACGCCTGCACGCAAAATGCTGGAATAAGCTGACTGGGTGCCACACTCTGTGGCCACTGCCTTCCCTGCTGACCCGGCCTCACGATGGTGGTGGCCAGGCTTTAGAAGGCTGGTCTTAGGGTCAGAACCAATGGCCTCCTGTAGCAGTAGATTGGTAAGGGAAAGGAAAGAGAGAATGAAAATTTTGAACAACAAAAGTGGAGGCTTTACAAACACATTCAATCCATTGTTCATTCAGGAGACAGTGGTTTGTTTTTAGATGGGCACATTTTGGGGACCCCGTACACTCCAACATTTTTAAAAATGAAACTATCACTTTTCCACAGGACCCTTACCAGTGGGGTCATTTAGTTCTTCAAAAGTGAACCCAGAGAATGAGAGAGAGGCTACAAGGGGGAGAGAGAGAAATGAAAAGAGACGGGGCGAGCACTAGGGCTTTGAATTTTCAGTGCGTGGCTGAGGGGACCGTGAGGCAATGGAGGGCAGAGTTAAGTTGCTGCCGAAGCAAACATTTTTATCAAGTGCGAAGGATTTTATGGTCATTATTAGAGAACTCACCGGTGAGGTACAAATTCAATAGCTTGTTCTAAATCATCTCTACATTGTGCCAGAAATTCCTGATGGAAGGAAAATGTTTCTATTATAAGAAAAAAAAAAAAAAAGGAGCGAGGAGACAATTTATAAACACCCAGCTGAGCGCAGATTTATTAGAGAAACTCAAGTTAAGGAGAAATTCTGCTTGCCTCCTTGCACCAGGTCCTGGCGGGGGAGAGGAGAGGCTGCAGCCGGGGTGATTTTGAGGGAGTGGGAATATCTATTGCTGGCGCAGGTTTGTCGGATGGGAGGCAGGAATCTGGCGTGGCAGGGAGGACATAGGAGATTTGGAATGCAAGGGGCTGTGGACAGCCAGGGTGCGGGTCTCAGAACGAAAGTGCTCAGAGGCCAGACCTCCAGCTACTCAATGAGGAAAGGACCTGCACCCCCAGGTTTGCCTGCGCCAGGGCCGTGGCGCGCGGGGAGCCGCAGCTCTCACCTGGAAACCGAGAAACCCAGGGAAAACAGAACTGCGTCCTGACGCCGCACCCACCCTCGCGCCCATGGGGAAGCCCGCATTCTTTGGGGTCGCGCAAAGCGTCCAGAGGCGACACCCGAGCCTTCCGCACCCAGCTGCCCTGGGGAGCCCCTTCCCCGCGCCTAGGTCGCCCTGCCCGCGCCCAGCCCAGCGCAGCACTCATACAAAGGGTCCAGAGCCTGAGCCGGCGCGAAGCCGCCCAGCCGGCTTTGGGTATCTCCGAATGCCCACAAAAGCTATGGCTTCATTTCTTCCCAGACTCGGGGGTCCCCAGCTGGCTTACGCGATTTGCTCTCCATCCGGTGGGCAGCCCGCCTCAGGGTAGCTTCCTCTCCATCCCACCTTCTTTTGCCGGCTCGCCCCTCTCACCTGACCTGCTCACCCGAATCCGAGGACTTTCCTTTCGCCTCCCTTCACGGAAAATCTCGGTTTTTTTGGAATTAATTCTCCTTTTGGATTTGGACTCATTATTCCTATTATTACTATTTTTCTTCGTTTTCATGCATTTGTTGCCCCACGGAATACGGCAACTGGGTGAGAAGCACTGAGCCCTCCTCGTGGGGAAAATTCAGAAAATTGACCATTGGAGGAGAGGGGGGAACACCACTATAACTGAAATCTATAAAATGGGTGTAAGGCCATACGAACCCTATTTTTTTTTATTAGGTGCAAATTATTCATGACTTTTGGTAGCGCTCAGTTCCTGGATTCAGGGCCGACCTAGGCGCGGTGCGGGGCGCAGACCTCCGCAGCCGCCGCTCCCTGGATTTTTGGCATGGAGCAAGGGTGCCATCTAGCGGCTACTCTGCGAAAAGGCGCCGCTGCCACCGGCTCCACTAGTTTTCAGGGAAATCAGCCGAGGCAAGAGAAACTTTCCTAACCAGCAGGAAAAGGGGAGAGATAGGGAAGACAGCATGAAAAAAGGCATCAGAATCAGGAAACGGCTCATGAAATTGTGTAGATAAGCTAAAAGAAAAAGAAAAAGAAAAAACACAGGAGGGGGGAGAAAAAAAAGAAATCTTTTTTTCTTTCTACATACACCTCCCACGCCTGACCCTAATTTCTAGCGGAGACCGCCAAGCAGCGCGCCGTTTATGGCCCGTAAAAAGGGGGACCGAGCACTTTTCAAACTCCACAAGACTGTTTCAAATTCTGAGGAGAAACAATTGGGCTTTTTGTCGGGGGAGAGGAGGCTGAGAGGAGGGGATGACACTGTAAAAGAATTAAGAGGCTGCCCGCGCCCAGACGTCTGGCCCCGCCGGACCTGCGTGTGTGTGTGTGTGTGTGTGTGTGTGTGTGTGTCTGTGTGTCCAGGAGGCTCCTCGTTTCCGACGCCCGATTCTAAAGGGGGTGTGAAGAACAAAGACAAGAGCCCCAATTGCAATCTCTGAAGCATTTGCGACAACAAAGTGTTCTTCCCCCCCCCCACCACCGCGCCCGCCGCTGCTCCCTTCTCTGCCTTCTGGGTACCCCCCCCAAGCCCCGAGCCCCTGCCCCAGGGCCCACCCACTGCCCCCACCAGGCCCGGAGCCTCGGCCCAGCTGCGGCTCTCTCAGCTCCGGAAAGTTTCCCCTCGCTGTTTGCTTTGCTGCTGTTTAGTTTCTTAACCTTCAGAAATTTATACGCTATAAACTTTTATAGCGGTCATATTCTTTTATTGCTGCGCACACGGCATTGAATTCCTCTCCCGGCTTCTCTCTGCCTCGCACTCTGGCGGTCTCCCTCTCTGAATCCCTCTCTCTTTTATGACAACCGCTTTCCCCATCTCCGGCTTCCGAGCCTCCGCATCTTCGCCTTTGTTTGTCTTTAAAGAGGCAACCCCAGCTGGGGACCCAGACGCCGCTGGCGCTGGCGGAAGCCCCTCAGAGCGCCTTCGCCCCTACCACGCAGCACTCCCCTCTGTTCGAGCCTCACTCTGCTTTTCTTTAGGCGGAAACCGACCTTCTCTGTTTGCTCTCAGCACCGGCTGGGCCTGGGAAGCCCAGGATGGGGCGGGAGCCTGGTCTACACCAGCTGTAAAGCCAGATTCATTTTGTATCCCTAATGAAACCCTCCTTGGGCCTGTCCGGGCCCGCTTGACCAGAGCTGCGCTTTCCTCCTGCCTCCCGCCGTCTCTCGGATCAGTTCGTTATTTCGCTGGAGGGGGGCAGGCCTGGCCTTTTCACTTGCAGGCTTCCTTCACTGAGGCCATGCTTTGTTTCCAACTCTACCCCAACTTGCAAGGTCTCCGCTAGCAGCGGTGTTGCCGGCTTGGGCTGGGGAGAGGCTCCTGCGGGAGGCCAGCTCGGAAGCGCCTTCCCGGCTGAAGCGGAATCCCAAGGCCTGGGTGAGAAGCGCAGGCTGCCAAGAACTGCAGTCTTCACAAGAGGCTCTGGTGAAACGCCTCAGTCTGAGAGGGACACAAAGGTGCTTCTTGAAACTGAGTTTAATTCTGGGGTCCTTTTGGGAAGGGAAATTTTCTACTGAGACATTTCTGCTTCCCACTCACTGCCCTCTCCAGCCTTTGCAGAGGTGCTTACCCAGGGCTCAACCTCTAACAAACCCAGCCCATCTCAGACCAAAGCTGCTGCCCTGTGGCTCAAACTGGAGCCCCCAAACCCAACTGGGGGCCGAGAACTCTAACCCTTCCTTTGAATGGAAGGAAGGAGATTCCAGCCCTTTGGAGGCCTCGGTCTATACCTAGGCACCCTGCTGCAGGAAGAACAGAGGGAAATTACTGTGTTCCTCCCTTGCATCATATTTTAAAGTGGCGAAAGAAAGGTGACATTCTCAGTGGCTAAGGGAGGAGAACTATCCCCAGGAGATGCAAGAAGACCTGCCTTCCCTCCTATTCTCAAGGCAGTGAGGAGGACCCAGGACCGCATTGCTCCCCAGACCTGTCCCCTCTCCAAACAACCCGTATTTCCTTCCCTCCCTCCTCCAGTCTTCCAGTTGTCCTGTTGGAAAGCTCTTGATCAGTTTAACTAGTAGCCTTGGGATCTAGCGTCTGAGACTGGCTTTCAGCCCCACCTTTAGACAGCTCTGCAGGGAACCTTGCTCTGCAGGGTATAAGGAGACACCTCCTGGGCTCAGCCATCTTTTTCCCCAAGCCTTTCTCCTGACAACTGGGATCTCTACCTACACAGAATAAGACACAGGAGAGATTTATTTTCTAGAGTGATATATATTTTTTGTTCCTTTTCTTTTTGTTCCAAAACAAACAATTAGAGCTCTAGGCCCCTCACCCTCCCCACACCCACCCAAAACCCTCCCATATAATCGACAACTGAAAACAGGCGAGACAATCACCCCCAAAGAAATCACGAAACACAAGCACAATTTCACGACAGCCACCGACAAAGCAAAAAACTTCTACTGGAATGTCCCCTTGCAGGATCGGGAGAAGCAGGAGCAAGAGTCCACGAATTGGAGGGGACTGAGAGGAAGGGAAGAAGGAGGAGGAGGGGAAGCAGAGAGTAAGCTTCCATCTGATGCTTAGGTGCGATTTTGCCTCTTTGCTTTGCACGCGGTACTGTTCCCCAGAAGCGCGTGCACGCACCAGCCGTGCAGATCCGCATCCAGGCCCACGAAGCTGGAGGCAAAGCCCGGCGCTGGGCCCGGTCTCCTTTGACGCTGGGGCTGCAGCCGCCAAGCCTGGGACTCCTCCGCGTGGGTCGAGAAGCCGGTGGGATGCGGAGGAACGCGCAGGGCTTTGCGCGCTGATTGCTCCTCCCTGTCCCAGACCACCAGTCCTGGAAGGGAGCTTGGGAATCGATTCACAATAAATTCTCATTCGGACTCTCCTGACCTGGCTTTCCTGTCTACAGTGGGGTTGACCTAGGGGGGGATGGAGGGTGGAGGGGTTTTTCTGCAAGGAACGGCTTGACTCTCGGGTGCAAGGTGGATTCCACCGAAGAGAGTTGATTTCAGAGCTAGGGAGGATGCGGAAGAATGCAGGGCCAGTCGAGAGCAAGAGAAGCTACAGTCTGTCAAGCGGTGCACAGATGAACAGGAGAACGACATTGTCAAGTTTGACCTCCTTTTGTTGGAAGGAGAGGGAAACATGCAGAATTAGACATTTCCTGCAACAAAATGTGTATGTTGGTGGGAGGTGGGGAGTAGCTCCACCTAAGATACTTTCATAAAACCATGTGCTGCCTTTTCTTGTACTTTTCTTGTACTTTCTAGACCACCAGCTTGGGGGCTACGTTTGCCCTATCTTCCCCGTGGCCCTTGGCCTGGGAATAGTTGGAAACTCCATGGGGACGGTATGGCAATGCTGCGACCTCGGGGCTGCAACCCCTCATTCAGGAGTCTGCGTCTAGACACCTCCCCGGTGTGTATCTGCATCAGGGGTAGAACCCGGGCTTGCCTGATGGTCTGAGGGCTGTTCTGCCAAATTTAGTGTGCGATGGTCTGCATCTGGAGCGCCACTGCACTTGACTGAATGGTGGCTGTGAGCTCACCCCATTATCACTGCGGACTCCAGGCTGTATGTGTGTGGGTGTCTGCTGGGCTGTGTGGATTTCGAGTGTCCCTGGGTGACTTTTGGATGGGTGTAGAGAAGAAACAGGCAAGCTGGAAGTGAGAGGCTAGGACTTCCCAGAAAAATTACGGGGCATACTAGGAGCTTGACTATGGTCTCTTTCCTTGGGGCCCATCACCTTCTTAGGAACCATCTACTTCTATCTTCTAAATCAACAAAACTTTCTCCTGACACCCAGGGAGAAGAGACAGACAGGTAAGGGCAAAGGAAAGAAGAGAGGCTCTAGGTGCAGATAAAGGACTTGGAAGAGAGACTCCCTTCCCCATTCACTTGAATACATTCCAGACAGCACTGGCTTTACAGTCGTCACATAAATAAGAGTGAGATGGGGAAGAGCTGGGGAGGAGTGGGGGTAATCTTTACTCTTTGCCCTGCTCCTTATTCATTTTCTTCATTTTCATCCGCCGGTTCTGAAACCAGATTTTGACTTGTCTCTCACTCAGATTGAGGAGTCTGGCCACTTCGTGCCTACGGTCCCTGGTGAGGTACATATTGAACAGAAACTCCTTCTCTAGCTCCAGCGTCTGGTATTTGGTGTAGGGGCAGCGCTTTTTCCTGGAAGAGCGAGCGTGCAGCCAGTTGGCGGAGGGGTTGGCTGAAAGAGAAGCAGTGATAGAATCACAGAAAGGAAGAGGGTGAAGGGCCCCAGACCAAGACAGCACACCCCTGGTCTCCACTCCCCATCTTGCATTGGAGAAAAAGCACCTGGGCCTTGAAACTCCTGGAGAGGGTGACACAGATGGGCCAGCCATTGCTGTAGGCACCTCTAGATGGGAGGCTGTGTGGAAAGGATGGAGCCAAACGTGTGCTTAGCCTTCCTCAGCACTTCCAAAGCTCTGTGTACATCAAGTTCCCTCTCAATTTTTCTCCACTTGGGTCCAAACTGCTTAGGACTCAGGTCAGAGTTCAGCATGGCTGAGGCCCCACCAGCAGCACCCCCAGGCTGGCTAGGGGTGGGTGGCTGACCTGAAGGGCCCTGGCTCTAGGAGGTGAGAGGAGGAGTTGGGCGGGGAAGTGAGAGGTCTGTCCAATCACTGCATTTGGGGTGTCACTTCACCCCAAGAGACCTTTCAGCCCTTGAGTTCAGTCCCAGTACACCATGCCTTGATCACAAGCTTGTGTCTCTAGACCACATGGCAGCAGGCACGAGTGTCTGCGTAGAAATCTCCCCCTCTGCCACCACTGCACACCACAAATATGGGTCTGCACTTAGAGCCGCAAACAGCCAGCACACTCCAATTCACACGCAATGCAATTGCAACCATTTATCAACTCCAGCCTTTGGACAGGGGAGCGCCGGGGGCTCACAGATAACTTATGGTTGCAATAGTCTCTCTCCTTTTCAGCTCCTCCTCAGCTCACAGTTTGGTTAACACAAGTTCAGGGAAATTGGGGAGAAAAATTGCTCCAGTCCCAAAGTGGGGAGCCAGGAGTGATGTGGAGGTAACAGGAAGCACACCTAGCCTTAACTGGTCCTATGTGGGGGAAAGGGTGAAGGGGAGAAGATGGTAACTGAGTGGAAGAGAGGAAACAAAAATATAAACAGGCCTCTCTTCTTACCCTCTCTCCTCCCACTCTGGAACTCAAAAAAGTTGCCAAATAAAGCTAAGCCAATTAAAAATAGCAGCCACCAGCTACTAGCTTCCTTGTCCCCAAATGAAAAATGGTGGATTTTTTTAATATAAAAAATTTGGTTCCTCCTACGTACGCTAAGTAACCGTGTCTTACCAATTTGCAGCACTATTTCCTTAATGTGCTTGCCTGGGTTGGGGCCCGCAGCCGCATTAAATATGAAAGAGGGAGAAACTGTTAATAATTGATCCTAGCCAAAAGGCTGCCTTGCAATAATGGGCTTTTCAGGAAGAGATTGGGGGTTTGGGGTGGAGGAGTGTCTGTTTGGGAGTGTGGGGAGGGTTGGGGAAGAATGTGTTCCCCAAATGCCAGCTCTTAGGATTCCACCTGGCAGGTTGGAAGTGACAGGACGCTGCAGGGAATGGGGCAGCTCTTTACTCTCCAGCAGGCAAGGATGCTCTAAAGGGCCTTGGGGCCACTTGGTCAATGGGAAATTTAGCAGGACAAGGAGAGACTATAATTTCTCAAAAAGATGAGGACCTGATTCACTAGCCTGCGAGTCATTGTTTGGGACTGAGAGTTCCCTCACCGATGTGCCCTTCTCAACCTTAAAAATAAATAATAGGAGAACCCTGTCTTCTCACCTAGTAGCACCTCCTAGAAATCAGCCAGACTTGGCTTTCCGGCCGGGGTGCTTTTGAGGAGTGGGAGGTGATAGGAAACTACCCACAAAGGGTAAAGTTCTCTGCCTCTCCGCAACCCTCTCTTTCCCCCACCCCTCCTTTCCCCCGGGTCCCTTCGGGATGCCCCAATATTCAGAAGCGATTCCCCGACTCCCGGAGAATCGGGCTGGGGCTACGGAGCCCCGCGGAGAGCGGCGGGGGACCGCAGAAACGGAAACTGCAGCCCCGACGAGGACGCCGAGGAGGAGAGGGGCCACCGGAGGGAAGGCTCCCGGGGAGGGGCAGGCGCATCGGGGAGGGGGCTCAGTCACCGCGTCCTGGGCTTCCCCCGCCCCTCCCGGCGCAGGCTGCGGACTCTGCGCGGCTACAGCGCGAGATCTGCTAGGAACAATCCTCCGCCAAGCTGTTGCATCGCAAATAAAACCCTAATGAGCCCCCTCCCTCTTCCCCTTGGCCGGCTTTTACGGTCTGCGCGTGGCGCGGGGAGCTCTGCCAGCCGCATGGTCCGGGGCAGCCCAGTGGGCTCCGGCCCTTGGCCTCGCCGGCTCCCGGCCTCGCTGGCCGCCGGCCCCGGGCCCCACCAGCTCCTCTCCCGGCCGTCGCCTGTCTCTGGCCAGGCTTTCTTTCAGGCCTCCGGGAGACTGGGGGAAAGGGGGCCGAGAGAGCTGCAAGTCGATCCCCGAACCCCTGTTCCCCTCAGGACTTGGAGAAGTAGGGGCGATGCTCCTCTGGCGGCCTCAGTCTCTCCTTCTAGAGCACGCAGCTTTCCCCTTCCCTCCGTCTTTCCCTACTCTCCCCTCCTCCCTGCCCGCTCTCCGACCACTGCCGCAGCTTCCCTTCACATTGTCCGCAGTTTATTGCCTTTCCCCTCCCCGCCCCCCTCCTGGCCTTCGGCCTCGGTATTTCCTCACTTTTTATAACTTACTTTGATCCGGCCTCTCTTTGTCCTCGCTGCCTTCGCAAATTTTATTGTCCCCGTAGCCGGGTCTTTGATTAGACAGCACGGCCTCCCTGCCCGCCGAAGTTTCCAAACTGTACTCGGGCGTGCCCTGTTTGAGCAGCTCCCCAGGCGCGCCCAGCAGCGGCTCCGCCTTCACCGCCGCCTGGCCCTGCCCCGGGGCCGCTTCCCCGCGCGGCGCCGGCTCTAGCCAGGTGCGGAGGTACCTGCTCTCGGCCGGCGGGACGCCCTGGGGCTGGATGTAGGGGTGGTAGACGGACGGCAGGCTCCCGGACGCGTGCGGGCTCAGCGGCGCCCAGGAGGCGCCGAACACCGGCGCTTTGGGCTGGAAGCTGCACGAGGGGAACTCCAGGTGCTCCGCGTGGCCCGGCTGCCGCGGGCTCGCGTACTGGCCAGAAGGAAACTTGGCTGGAGGCGCGTCCTCACTCTCGTGACTTATGATCGAGTCGACATAATAGCTGCTAAGCGTCCCAGAAATGGACATTCTCAGACATTATCCGGGCGCTCACAGGGGGAAGGGAAGCGCTCGCGCGGCGGCGCCCAAGCAGGGAGAGGTGGCACCCGGACCGGTGTGAGGGCTTTCGGACGCGACCCCCCCAGCCCCCCACCCTCCCACCCCCACCCCCTGCTCAACTTCTCAGCCAACAAAGTACAGTGGAGCAGCCCGGCTCAGCGCTCCTTGCAAAATGATTGGTCAAAGTTTTTCCGACTGCCTGATAAAGCGTCAGCTCCGACATAAATCAATCGGGCGAGGGGGCTGCGCTCTCGCTGTCATCCGTCCGCACCGCATTCCATATCGAGGATGGATTGTTTTATGCTGATGCAATGTGCTATCACGTCAGGGCTCCGGCGGCCACGTAACCTCACCCGGAGCTGCCGGCCGCCCGGTCCCCCCCGCCCCCCCCCCCCGCTTCCCGCTGCAGGAAGGGGGGCAGTTCTCGACGTGGGGCGGCGGGGGCGGAGGAGAGGCGGAGGGAAGCGGCGGGCTGCCTTTGGAGGGACGCAGGCTGTAGAGCCCTCTCCCTAGGCGGGTCGGGGAGGGAGGGAGAGAAAGGGCGGAGGGAGGGAGAGAGCCCAGCCCGGGGAGCAGTCAGAAAGGCCCGAGAGGATACTGAAAGAGGAGGTGGTCCTGTCCCCCTACACATACCTCCACCTCCACCCCGCAGGCCCTCATTTCCTCTTCTCTGTCCCCTTGACAGAAGATGTTTATTAAATAACAACAGCAGCAGCAATCCACAGGAGATGAAGTAAAAGGATGAGGGGAGAAGTTGGGGATTTTAGGACGTTGTCCGCTTTGGAGGGGGCTTTCGGTGCACTCTTTATAGAGATTCACAAGACTGGGAACCTCCCTGGACCCCTCAGTAGCCGAGGGAGGAGGGCAGAAGGGAATAAAACGGCTGAGTGTCCAAGAATCCACTATTTGTCCTGAAATTAGAACCTGCCTGAGGTTAAAGGGATCCAGCAGGCCCTGGAAACGAGAGCCTAGGAAAGAGTTTAATACAAGGAAACAGAGCGCCTTTACATTTATTGGGCCTTTCTCTGACTCTGGCCAGAGGATGGATTTGAGGTGGGAGGAGGGGGGGGAAGAGCCATTTCTCCTTTTCTCCACTGAATAATTATCCAGGCCCCTAAAATTGCCCAGGTGAGGGAGCTGAACAAGAGAAAGGGTTAAGGACACTTCCCTGAGCTGTCACCAGAGCAGAGGCCTGGGGAAAGATCCCCAGCCAACAAGTGAAGGGGTTCTATGTCATCTCCCCTTGTGTCCAGAGAGGAAGGAGCCTGGGCTGAGTTTTCAGCCCTCCTGTCCTGCTCCTTTCACTCGGGGCTCCTGCCCTGGAGATTTCCAAACACCGATATAGGAGCCAGTGTGATCAGCAAGCCCAGGGTCAGTCTCTTCCCCTCACTGCCTTACGCCCCGCAGAACCCCTCATTGGAGCTACCAAGTAGCGTTTTTAAAATATATCTACTCTGTGGCCCTGCACGGGGACTCCTCCCGGTCCACCGACTGGCTTTCTGGCTCCTCTCCCAGCCTTTGGTCCTCACCTTCGGCCCTAGGTGCAGTCGCCTCTCCTGACACTTGGGGAGGTGCGACCCTTGGGCACACCCAGTTCTCCTCGGTTTGGGCTCAGACGAAGATTGGGGTAGATTTCTCCACAACTCTCTGATTCTGAGTCCTAATAAGGCAGACTGCCCTCAGTGCGGTCCTTTTAGCAAAAGCGGGGCCACTGTAACTTGGGGTTGTATCTTTTTGGCCACCTACCCCTCTGCCTTGTGGAAGGCAGATCACCTCCCACACGGACACACACTCCCACTCGCTTTTCTTTCCAGATGAAGCCATCTCGTGTCATTACATGTGAAATACGAGGGTGAAGCGCCATATTTCTTCACATTATGGCTATTTCAAAATGATTTTTTAAAGATCAATGCCGGCGCCCAGCTGGCCCCCTCCTTTCCCACCCTCACTCTCCGAGGGTGACAGCCTGGCAGATCTGGAACCAAACAGCGTGAAGATCTGCTTTTTCCATAGGACCCAAGTGGGGAAACAAAAATCCGATGCAAATTCTTCCAAGTAGTGGTTGGACGCTTGGGAAAGTCGAGGGAGCTCCCTGGACTCAACAGCGAAAGAGCTGGGCGCTGAGCGAATGAATCACAGTTAAGGCAAAGCACCTGTTCTCAATTTGCCAGCCCTATGAATTCTGCTGTCGGCTTTACCTGTCATAAATATACTCTTCAGGAAAAAAAAAGGTTCCCTCCCCCGCCATAAATAACGACGTTATGAAGCATGGCGGGCTGAGTATATGATTTCTGTAGTATATAAATTAGGGCCTAAAAGGACATGTGTACTGTGGAGTGGGGCTTTTTTATTTATGGAAAAGTCACAGCGCTGGGCTGTCCTTAAGACCCAAGCAAAGCAGGCGCTAGGCTCTGACTGCCTTCTTCCTGGTTCCCCTTCCTTCGCCTGCCCTGACTTTGCAGCTGCCTCTATGCAACAAGAGAGGAGTCAAGAGGGCCACTCAGTTTAGGGAAGAAGTTAGAGGAAGAAGGACATTTGGGCTGATGGCTTGTGCTCTACTAGGGTGAATTCTCCCGGCAGACAAGATTCAGGTTTGTGGGTTGCTGTCTGCCTGAGGAGTTGCCCCTATTCCCTGGTGGCTCCTGAGTGCTCGGTAAGGAGGGGACTCAGGCCTCTCTTCTGAGACCGGAACTTAGCCTTTGCTCACGAAGAAGCTGGAGAGTGGAGACAATTTTAAAATGACAGATTTTGGAGGTCCTGGTCTTCTCAGGGAGCAGTGACTCCAGAGGAAAGAGAATGAACGGGCCCCTAAAGCCTGTAGTCTGCATCCCAGCTCTGCCCTCCAGGTGGATGCGCCAAGCAAGGAGTCTCACTCTAGTCAGGCTTTCTAGAAAGCATTACTGCCCCAAACTGGAGTTCAACTCCAGCTCAGGCAAATGATTAAAGGGTCAGCTGAGAGCCTGTGGACCCCCTCCCACCAAAAAATCTTGTTTTCTCCACAGACAACGGCACCCATTATCAAGGAGGATAGCAGGCAGGATTGTGGCCCCTGGACTCCAGCTTCCAAAGACACTTAATAGAGGGGTTGCTTCAGTGGGGGTCAGTTTGTCCTGAGAAAGCAAAACTGCTCCACACCCCACCCCCAATCCTAAACAGAAAGAAGGAAAACCCTGCCTTCTCTTGCAGCCTTTTGCCATTCCCTGCACTGAAGCCTCGCTTGAACACAACTGGGGCCAGTAGCTGGTGGCTTGGAGAAGGCCAAGCGGGGAAAAGCGGCAGCCCCTGACCACACTGGGGCCCAGAGCAGGCAACAATGAGGCCGATGTTTGAAGAGCAGAAGCCAACCAGCCGGTGAGTGCCCACGCTGCGGGGGTGACTTTTAGATGAGTCCTGGTCAGTAAGAAGAGAGAGAAAATCTAGAGGAAGGGAAGGAAATGGGAGAAGAAAGAAAAACAGCAAGTGAGAATGAGGAAAAACAGTTTGTTTTTAATTAATAAGCTTAGCTGAAATTGAGGCATGTTGTATGTAAATAGATGTGTGTATCCTGTATGTATATTTCAAATCAATATTTCTGTATGGGGAACCCAGTGTGCGAATGCACTGTGCTCTATACTGTATATAGACTATGTAATAAATAAATGTGACTAACTATGAAACTTGATGTGCTTGGGCGTTTGTGGATGTAAGATCTAATCGTGCACATGTGGACGCATGCATAACCCCTGTGAGCGATGGAGGTTTACGATTTTGCTCATAGAAGGAGATCAGTTACTGAAAAGCTTGTGTGTACATTTTTATAACCATCACATACCTATGGAGAAGGCAAAAGCTTGGGTTTTTATGTACTTGAATTATGGCTATAAAATATTACCTAATTCGGATGGCTCATTTGAAAATCTGTCCCCTGACTTGATATTCAAGCAAAATGTACAGTGTATCCTCAAATGTGCATGACTTAACACTAGATTGATTCTACAACTTCTTTCCAAAATGTTTCTCTGGAAGGTAAAAGAAATGCCCAAATTGGGCCAGAAGAGGTTAAGAAATTTTGTGACTTCTTAAAATCCTTTACTGTGTTTATTACCCAAAACCACAGGGATGGTGTGCATTGTGTGATGCTTATTTCATGATAGCGATGGGCGCGGGGGTGGAGGCATAGTTACTTATGAGCTCATGTGTCTCACAGAAGTATGAAGCAGAGGCAGACAGAGATGAGCTGAGTGTGAAAGTGACTGTGGAGGTCAAACAAAAACACTGCTGTGTACAACAAAATTAAGTAAGTCCCCAAAGCTATGTTCCCAAGCACCAGAGGTTTTTCTTCTGACTCAAGATCAGAGTCCAGACCCACTCTGGGAAAGAGTGAGGCATGAGGACACTAACTCCAGTGGGAAAAGACAGAAGATCCCAGAATCCTTACCATTTATGCAAAACGGCTTCCCAAACAGGCATCACAACGAATCCGCACACTCGAGTTCAAACCTCGGTGCTTCCACACCCTTCAAGTGGGGATCTTAACTGTGAAGTAACGAAATCTTCTGCCAAACCTCCCTCCCAGGATGTTAGAGGTGAAAGGAAGGACTGAGAGGTCAGTGGCCCAAGCCGACCTCAGGAATCTCCTTACCAACTCTCAGCCATCAAGGATATCCAAGGCGGTGGGGGTGGCTGACTCCTTGGGAGGGGGCATCCAGGAGGCCAAACGGGGTGGGCGGCAGGCAGGCGGAAAGAAGGCGAGCAGGTAGAAGGTTATTACGAAATTGCTTCCATAAAACCTGTGGCTGTTGTAAAACTCTGCTTTCCAAAGACTTTATTTCCTCCTTTCTCTCTAACATCCCCCCTTTTTTCTTTTTACAGCACTTTTGCTGAGAGGGGGTGGCTAAGGAACGCCAGGGTTGGAAGACAGGCAGGCTCCGAGTGACCCGGCAGGTTTGTGAGAGGCCCAGGGAGAATTGAGATAAGGCCGCTGGGACACACCAGGCCGTCTCCACCCAGACCAGAGGATGAGAAACTGTCAAGGGACAGAGTTGTTGGCCTTTGCTTATCAGGACAGTGGGTTGAAGGCTGCATTTCCCCTAGGTGAGGGGTGGGTCTCCCTAACGCCCCTCTGCTCTAGCAGAGGCCCCTTGTTCAGAGACCCCCTGGCCCTCCAAGGCAGCCTGGCTCCGAAGCCCCATCCGGTCCGGCCTCTTTCCCGGGCCCCTTTGCACATTTCCTCTGCCTCAAGCAGGCGGGGGGGGGGGGTGGAGGGAATATTTGGGAACAAAAGTTAGCTTATGCTTTGGAACGTCCCCCTTCTTCCACCAGCACTTCTAGTTATTCCTTTCCTGGGCACAGAGCCAGCAGCCTTAAGAGGACTGGGGTCAGAGAGGGTATCACAGTCTCGCCCTGCCCAACCCCTGGCTCCATCACTTGTCACTACATAAGTCGGGGTTGAATTGTCCAACAACCTGGGCTCCCCATTAGCTTGAAAGTCAGGTCCCTCTCTGAGGGGGTGGCACTCAGGACCTATGTGTACCCCTAGCCCAGCCTAAGGCCAGCGGGAAGGCTTTGGCCACTGTGGTGGGTGGGGAGGAAAGAGTCAACTGAGGGATTAGGAAAGAAAGGACTTTTTTGACCTACTTCTGTAGGTTGGGTCCCATTAGGGGGGGCTTCAACAGGACCCTGAGAGCTTTGGGCTGAGACTGCAAGAGATCCCGATGTGTGCCTTTCAGAGTGAGAACTATTGAGCCCTCTTCAAGGACCTGAAGCTTCCTGCTGAAGTGAAGCACCAGCCCCCAAAGAGTTACAAAACCTCAAGAACCCCTTGTGTTTCTGTTGAAATCAAGTATTTGTGAAGTTGGGGAGACTTTCTCTGGAAAGTTCTGGATGAAGGTGAGAGCTGGGAAACCCTAAGACTGGAAGCTTGGAGCTCTGACTGCCATCCTTGGGTTGGGCTAAACAGCTCAACAAGGGCAAGGTGCTTGGGGGAGCTGACTGCTCCTCATCCCCCTTTCCCTCCTAACACCACACACACACACACACACACACACACACACACACACAGATACACACAGAAACACACAGACAGACAGACACACACACGCCTCATTCAGAAGTGGGAAGACACTTCCCAGATCTCTTCTCTGGGGACCATTCTTCCTGCTCCTGGTTGAAGGACCTCAAACCTCTTTCCCATTTTGCAAGGTTGATCCTGGTTCTGCTCCCCTCCCCCCACTCCTCCAGCTAAGCGAGGAGCAGTAACTGCCGTGAATCGGGTGGTTTGATGTTGTTGTGTTCAGAAACCCAGGTTCAACAACATGAAACTACCTAATTCACTCAGCAGTTCCAGTTCAAGCTCTAGGTCAAGGGCTCACTGGGGGCAGAACCTGTTGCTATTTTATTTTTTTATTTTTATTATTATTATTATTTTTTGGTGTGTGAGCCAAAAAGCGGCTTAACTTAATTTTTCTCCACCTCTTCCCCAACAGAAGAAGCCAGTTGCTACTAAGCAACACATCGGAAGAACTGAACCCAGGACTCTAGCAAAACCATTTTGGAGCCGGTCCTGGTCCTGAGAGCTCAGATTCCAGACTTTTGCTCCCTTCCAGGAGCCCTGGTCAGAGAAGAAGATCTTAGTCACAGGCACAGGCGTGGGCAGGGTCTCTTTGATATACCTGCGCGGGTCTCTGCCTCTCAGCCCAGCTGGGGGTCTCCACAGATAAAAAGAATTCTCAACTTCAAACCGATATGAAGGTGCATCTACACTTAGCAACCGGCCAGCCCCTGAATTCCAGATCACCCAGCCTCCCCCTGTAGTTCTGAGAGGCCAGATCTTCAAGTCCTACATCACGCTCCAGCTTTGAGACTGGGGCGCAGACCGGAGAGTGGGGCAAAAGAGTGCTGAGAAAGTGCTGAGAGAGAAAGTGACAGGGAGGCGTAAAAGCAGAGTGTCAGAAAGTATCGGGAATTCTAGGGAACAAACAGAGGAGAATGGGATTTGGAGGGGAAAGCCGGTTGATGTGAATCGTTGCTGTGAAGGCACCCTGCCCAAAATGTCCTAGGGCCCTGCCTCTGCAGAGGCCGAGCTGCCCCAGGTAAGACAATCCATTTCGAACCTGCGCAGAGCAGGAGTCTAAGACTGGGACTGGGTCGCAGAGAACCAATTTGCTTCCTCCTTCCTGACCTTTGGTCTGGGTCTTTCGCCCCCTAACGTGCCCACTCCTCACCCCTGCCTCTCCAGACACCGGCCTGCTCACAGGTGCTCACGCTCACCCCCGCACCCATCCCAGCACCGTGGCTGCCGCAGGCCGCGGGCGGAGGCTGACTTACCTGGGTGGTGTCGGCCGGCCTGCGGCCGTCGGAAGGTGCGGAGCCAGCGGCCGCGGCCTAGTCCCGGCTCCCTCCCGCCCTCGCCCCTAAGCGAGGGTCCGAGTGGCCACGTGTCCCGCAGAGAAGTCCGAGGTAGCGAGGGAGTCGGCCTGGCCGCCCGCTCCCCCTCCCGGGTATAAATCTTGGGGACCGGAAATACAATAAAACTTCACCGTGTTGATGAACTTCAAACGGTTTACATCCCCTCCTGTCCTGAAAAGAAAGACGTCCGGGGGCGGATTAAAAGGAAGAGGGAACAAATTTACGAGCGGCAAAAGCACCCGCCTCGGCCCCTTTCTTTGCCCGCACACTTTGTCCGCGTGGAGAGAAGCAGCCCCGGCCCCCGGGCCTTGGCCTCCGCGGAACCGGCCGCCAGGCGCGCTCTTCTCTCGGAGGAGTCGGCGCTGACCCAGCCCGCGCCAGGCAGAGACTGGAAACCGCCGCCTACACGTAAAATCCACAGAGCCCCGCGCACACCCTACGATCGGCTCGGCCAGCCAGGCTCCGGATGAGGCTCTCCGCTCCTCGCCAAAGCAGAGCTGGGCGCCCTGGAGCTTCCTCGCAAAAGCCCGGGCTCTCCCAACCACTCCCGGTGGCCTCCATTTTTTGCATCTTTCCGCTGAAAGCGGGTTTTTTGTTTTTGTTTTGTTTTTCAGACAGAGTACCGCTTTTCTGTCGCCAGGCTGAAGTGCAGTGGCGCAATCTCGGCTCGCTCCAACCTCCACGTCCCGGGTTCAAGCGATTCTCCTGCCTCAGCCTCCCGAGTAGCTGGGACTACAGGCACCCGCCACCACGCTCGGCTAATTTTTGTATTTTTAGTAGAGATGGGATTTTACTATGGTGGCCGGGCTGGTCTTAAACTCCTGACCTCGTGATCCGCCTGCCTCGGCCTCCCAAAGTGCTGGGATTACAGGCATGAGCCGCCGCACCCAGCCCAAGGGGTTTTTTGTTTTGTATTTTAAATTTTTCTTTTCTCTTTACTTTTCTGTCTCTAGCAGCCAGACCTTTGCCCAGCCCTGCCCGTTTATTACCAGGTACTTGCTAGAAGAGGACAGAAGATAAGACTTGGGGTGACTCCCAAGGCCTGAAGGGGGCTGAGTGGGCTGGGGGCTCCCAGAGGAGAAACCAACCCTAGGGACCAGTCAGTCTTCCTCGGAGTGAAAGGGACAGCCACACTGCTTAGTGCTGCGTGTCGAAGTTCCACCACCGTCTCCCCATCTCCTTTAAAGCCTCAAAATCAAACAAAACCACTGCTACCCAGGCCTCAAGTTTCCATAGTTCTTGTCTGCTCTGGATCGTTTACATTTTTCAAAACTTCGTGGAATCCAAATTCTCTACTAGGCCTCTGTGAACCAAAACGAAGGAAAATCCCTTTTCATCTTGGGCTTCAGAGAACTGAGAGAGAAATAATCGACTTCCTGCTCCTTTTGTCTGCTACAGTAGCCTGGTTAGGTGCCCTTCTGGGTGGGAGAGCAAAAGGTTCTTCATCCTGCCTCACAGTTATTCACCCCCAAAACACCAGGCATTCAGGTCTAAGACACAATTGATGGCTCAGATTAGCTCAGGCTCAGGCAGGGTGTTCAGGTACATGAGTGAGGTCCAGCTGTGGGCCCAGGAGGGGGTTTAGTGCACTGAAGGCACACCCCTTCCCATAGATACACACAGGTGCAACCCCAACCCAGCCAACTCCACACCCTCACCCCAAGAAAAAGCACCAAAGTGCTGCTGGAGATTTTTAAAATTTGATTAAAAAAAAAAATTAAACTGGCAGGGAAAATACTAGGCAGTACCGTTCTTGAATTTTCTGAAAGGCTGACTCTGCTGGAGGCAGTCCCGCTCTGCCCCAGCTCTCCAGAGGTGGGTGATGGTTTTGTGGGGAGTGCTCTCTGGCCCCTTCCTAGCACCAAGAAGAAGGAAATGAGGTGCTCTTTAACAGCTGGAATTATCTTATTTCTGGCCAATATTCATATTCCAGGATTTGTTTGGGGAGGCCCTCCAGCCTCCCGCATTTGCTCTTTATCATGCTATATTTTTATTCAAAATACTGAGATGCCAGCTACTGGCTATCACTCCTTCTATCAGGATTTCCCTCTGGGAGGAGGGCAGGACTGAGGGGCCAGCAGTTTACAGACCATTCAAGAGTGTTATTACCCATCGCCTCCCAGGCACCTGGTGGGAGCCAGTGTGCTGGCTCCTAGACTATTGATGGCCTGGGTCTCTGTGGCTCCCTGGCTAAGGAAAGGAGAAGGAAACCTTTTATAGTCTTAGAGTCTTTGGGAAAACTGAGGAGGCCATAGCCTTAGGATGGTGCACCTGCACACCCATATGTTTTGCATACATTTCAGGGGCTTTGTGGCTTTCCCTTACCCCATCTGAAGAACCCAGGCCACGGATTCCAGTTAAAAAAAAATAAAACTCTCCGCATGGTGCCAAAGGACACCCCAAAGCCGTTCCCATAGATACCAGCTGTGTCCTTCCGAGGGCACGCCAAAGAAGTCAACTTTCACAGGCTCAGCACAGGCACCCATGGATGGGGTGCTGGTGCTGCTCATACACTAGCTGAGATGATGGTCACTCAGTGAGTAAAGGCCATTTAGGCAACGTTTCTTTTCACTCCCAAACGTTTTCCAAACACTTTTCCAAAAGCATGTTGATCTCCAAATTATTCCGAAAATTGATGGCTAAGCTGGAGGGTTTAGAGGCAGCTTCTCCCTGCTCTCTTTCTTCATTGAAGATAAAACAGAGTTCTAGTGCAATTGGAGTGGGGCGCGGAGCTGGACAATTTGGATGCTAAGAGGAGGCAGCGTAGACACAGACGCAAAACACAAGATCCTTAAAGAAACCAGAATTGAGACCCTCTTCCATTTTGTGAAGAGTCACAAGAATAAATATTTCTGGGACTTCCTAGCCCGTCTCCCTTAAAGGGGTTCCTTATGTGTCGGGGAGGGAGGAGGCAGTCTCGGAGGAGTCAGAGGTTCCAGAAGCCGAGTTCCTAGACCCCAGCTGGATTTTTTTTTTTTTTTTTTTTTTTTTTTCAATTTCTGGCGGCGGGCGGCTGGGGAAGCAGCTCTGTGGTCTCCCGGCGGGTGAGGCCGAGACAGAGACCGACCTCTAGGCGGCGCCCTGGCGTTGAGTCCGCGCTGAACAAGATTCTGGCACAGCTCTGCGTCCCGCGCCGGGTGAAGGGGCAGGTTCCTGCAGGCGCTCTGGGCTCGGCCTGGAGCTGGCCGCCCGTACGTCGCCTTTGGCGCCCTCTGCCAAGCAAGAGAAACACGGTTAAATGAGTGCACTGGGATAGAAATCCACAGCTAATCAAGTCCCCATCCGCCCCCACCCCCTGGCCCTTACCTCCTAACCCCGTCTCCGACGCTAGGGAGCCTTCCACAGCCCGAATCTCCTTTGATCTCCCCAGCAGCCGGCTAGAGGACAGCGCCAGCATCTTTAACCCCCTCCCCCAGCCTGCAAAAGAAGACACTGAGGTCCGAAGGAATAAAGTGATTAGTCCAAGATCAGAGTAGCTATTAAAAGTGGTGAAGCAGGGCTGGAGAAAGAGCCCTTTATTCCAAGCAGGATGCTCTTTATCCCAAATTATCATGACCCTCCACCCCTCAAAACGTGTCTTTCTTATAAGCAAAATTCATCTCCAGAAAGTCAGGTTTTTGGTGTTTTCTATGTTGGAAGTTTGGCGTTTCTTGGATTTCAAATTTGGGGAGGTGCATAAGAAAACTGGAGGTGGATACAGGGGCGCTGGGCTAGGATTCCGAGGACAAATCCAGCCCCATCTCTTCCAAGAAATGCCAACTCCTCACTTATGATCTCCCTAGCTTTGAGACCCTGGCCAAGTGCCTTAGGCCCCAGGGGCCCAGATGAAGACCTGCTGGACGGGAAAGCTGTGAAGTGTGAACAGTTTGTGAGAAAGGCTCAACCAATAACTAAGAGAAGCCGCTGGCCACAGGACTGCTCCACAGCCCCCCAGACAAGGCGGGTTAGGGCTGCCAGTCAGGCCACTCTCCTTCTTGGCCCAAATAGGGCCTCTTTGTTACATTCTTGTGGGGCAAGAAAAGAGAGGCCTTGTTCTGGAACCAGCCCCTCAGAGACATCAGGGGCCTAGAAAGAGCAGGATAGGAGAAACCAGGGCCCCTCTTCCCCTTTCCCCATGGCAGAGATGCCATTTTATGCTGCAGAGCCCTCTGAGAGGCATCTCTCCAAAGTTATTCCTAAAACAGAGGTGCCAGAGAATCACCTGAGGGGGAGGAAGGGAAGAAGAGGGGGGACGGGCTGCTGGGACCAGGCAACAAAGGACAGGCACCTACGATGGGGCAGACCATGACAGGGGCACCTGCTGGGGTCTGCAGTCCCACGAGAAGTTCGTTTCCCAGCCGGGCTGGAGCTCTTGAGGGTGCCTAATTACCCAGTGCACATCTGGAGCAGCTGCGCCCTCGGACACATTATTTCACTCCAACCCCTATTTTCATTCCTGAGGCTGAGTCATAAAAGACTCTAGAGGCAGAATAAAGTTGGGTATGTGTGTGTCAGCATTCCTGTGTGTGAGTGTGTGTGTGGATATGTGCACGTCCGGGGCAACGTCTGTGCATCTCACTGTGATTGCCCAATGGATTCGCTAAAGTTAGGGGAAAAAAATGGAGCAACATCAGGCGAATTCAACTGCGAGCATACTGTCAGCCTCATTATCCGCCCATTTCAAGGGAAAGCATTTGGGTCTCGGAATTAGCCAGTTAATTGCCTCACTTCTTTGTTCACTTTAGGGCAGGAGAAACTATCTGTGTTCTATTAAAGCATTCCATATTTCAAAACTAAGATCTCTTCATTCTCAATTTTCTTTATTTCTGTCTTTATAACACTTGAGCACTCAGATCTGCCAGTCTCTCTCTCTGACACACACAACAGACACACACACACACACACTCATACACACACATGGGTTTCATGCTTGAAAAGTAACTCTTGGTTTCTGCATCTGCAAAATCTGTTGTCTTAACTCTTAAAGTTGATGTAAGGATTAACGAACGTACTATGATGCAAAATGTGTTTGGCATTTAGCACAATACTGGTGCACAGGCAGCATTTAGTAAATAGGAACTATTAAAAACAACATGAAGGAAGAAGAGAAAAGAGAAGGAAAGCAGGAATGGGGGGTGGGGGTGAGTGGCAAAGAGGAAACCTGCTTTGTTCTCAGAGAACCAGCCTAGGACACAGGGTGTGTGTCTCAGCCATATATGTATAATGTATTCTTTTGACCAGGAGCAATGTCTATAAAGGTGAGGCCCCTTGGACCCCTTGGCCTGTAACTACCTTTTCAACAAGGTACAGAGAACTGGGGCATTTATCTGGCTCATTTCAGGTTCAAACTCCCTGTAGCCTGAGGTATCTGGATCTCATAGGGGAAAGGTCTGGGAAGTGGTGGCTTGTATTTCTTTGGCTTTTCAAGGAGTCCTTTCCCTTTGCTGCAGTGAGCATGGTCCTGCCTTAAAAAATGGTTAGACAAGAAATAGGGGGCCAGGAAGCTGGAATTAAACAGAACATCTGAGAAACGCTTGAGGAAACCAGGTTTTACCCATTTCCTGGGCAGCCAGGAGGAGGCCTTGAAGTTCTCCATGCACTCTCCCCAGAGGACCACCACCCCACTAAAAGAAGTCACATGCTTTTGCCTGTTGGGGACTTTCATTCCACATTCAGCAATCATTTCCTGAGCGCCTACTGTGTGCCCAGCACTGGGCTGAGCTCGGGGCTTCAGCAGGGCTGCACCCCACCAGTTGGCAGTGCTGATGTGGCAGCCAGCAAGAGGTCGTGGCTCCTAGAAACAAGCCCAGGGACATAAGAAGGGGGTCAAGCCTGCTGGGCAAGAACTTCTGGCCAATAGCAGCACTGCCTTTTCAGGGCCAAAGTCCTAGTGCAGGGGTGGAGCCAGAAGGTCGGAAGCACCCCCTTCCAATTGTCTATCAGAAAAAGGCCAACTCCACGGTGGTTCGAACGCCCCAGTGCAAGGAGGGGTGGGGCAGGCAAACATGACTAGAGGCTCCTGATCCTCAGTCGGAAGTTTCTGAGAACACCAATTAGCTTTCTTTAATTAGTAAAGTAGGGAGCAAATGAGCATATATTTCTTCTGCTCTGATTAAAAGCATTTAGGTCAGGTTTTCACAGCCAGGATTATCCAGTTTAAGAAAATTGTTTATTTATTTTTTCTTTTTATTTTCAGGCAGGGGTGTGAATACTATTAGCCAACCATTGGCTTCTTGTCACAGCCTGGAACTGCTGGGCAGGTAGATGGTGGTTGTGCAGCACAGACAGAGGCAACTAGAAATGATGCAGGGTCTTTCCTGTGCCAAGTCACATTTGTTTGAAATGTGTAGACAATTGAGGAGCAGCCAGGAGGGCTTGGGTTTGGAGTGTAAATAAATGTGGAGAGGCAGGGTACAATTAGCCAGATAATTTCCAGTTCTCCTAATTTTTCTTACTAGTCCTAGAAAAAGAAAGTTTGTTTACTTCCCAGACCCCAAGGAAGCCTGATTTTTCTCCTGGGAGATCTAGCTTGGTCAATTCACACAGGTGGGGAGATGGCCAGGAAACTTAATAGGCTAGGGAAGAAGAGTTAGGTCCTTCTTTACTCTCTGCATCTAAACAAGCCACAACCCATGAGGCTGGGCGTTATTAGGAGGTCCCCCAGGATAGTCAGGGGCCACATGCTGTTCTTACAAACAAGATTACTAAAATATTGGGAACGAATCCTTCCCCTTTTAGTTCAGCATTTGGTATTCCACAGCCTCTAACCTTGGCTAAATCAGCCCCAAGAAGAGCTGGGGTGCCAGAGAAAATGGAATAAGTGAGTCAATAAGAGACACAAAGGAGCATTCTATTGCCCAGTCCCCATTCACTTGGCTCACAGTCAGCTTTAGTTAGGAAGCTGTTTCCAGATAGTCTCCCCTTCAGGAGTTCTGGTATGGTTTTTAGTCCTTGGGAAGCTGCTCAAGCCTGACTTCCTTCCACTGCTGGTCCCACCACTGGCCAGTCCAAGATCAGCTTTCCCCAGAAAAGCTCTTCCCATGTTCTCAGGCTCCCAGTTGCTGGGAAGGACAGATTGACTCCTCTGGGAGCCCAGACCCTATAGGTAATAGTGGGGAGAGGACACTGCCACGGGAGTGTTTTTAAAGGTGAAGGTTGGCCTGGCAAAAAGGAGATGTGAGCCAAGAGAAAAGGTGAAGAGCTACATAAATTGGCTATATTTGGCCTTGGCATTTCCCAGACACCAGCTCCTTTGATCAATCCAAACTGTAGTTCTTAACTTGGGGTCTGAAGAGTCTGAAATGCTCTGAAATTGTGAGATTTGGTGAGTACTAAATAAGTGCATTTTTTTTTTCTGGGCAGAGGGGAATCAATATTGTTCATCAAAATTTAAACTATCATATCAGGGAGTGACCCCCCAAAAGTGTTAAGAAGCCATCATCTACCATTCTTATACAACCAACCAAAAATGTAATGCAGGGGGAGGCATTGAAATAGACTTGGGTATCTGACAAGACAAAAGGACAAACAAGTTCTTGTTCCACAAGGTTGAATGGATACTGTCATCTGGACTTCCTGGAACACCAAGCACCAGCTCACAGGTGCTGGGAACTCTTGGACTGAGACCAGGCAGGCCTCAACACTCAGTCCCTACATCTTCTGTACTTGCCTGTGCAGACAAGGAGTATGCAAGGTCTCTTTGTTTCTAATCAAAATGATATGGAGTTTTCATCCACTGGGGCTTGGAACCTCTGCCATTTGCCACCTTGTCCTAAGCTATCTCATACTGAAAGAGAATTGAAAGTTTCTCTTTTTTTATTTTTATTTTTTAAAAAAGAGACGGGGTTTCTCCATGTTGGTCAGGCTGGTCTCGAACTCCTGACCTTAAGTGATCCGTCCGCCTCGGCCTCCCAAATTGCTGGGATTACAGGCGTGAGCCATCGCGCCTGGCCCGAGAATTGAAAGTTTCAGGAACTACTTCCCCTTTGCAAATGCCCTCCTCGAGGGGAAGAGCATTTGCAAATCTCCAGCTCCCACCGTTCCAGCCAGGCCTGAGGAACTGTGTTTGAGACCGCGGAGCCCAGAGACCTTCAGCGGGGGCCAACAGCCATGACCTTTAAGTTCTCTTGGCCGCTGGGCGACAAAAAGTGTGCAAGAGGCAGCTGGGCAGGTAGACAGAAGTAGGCACAAAGAAAGGGGCCCTGGACAGCTGCCAGAGAAAAGACAGAGAATG